GTTTACATTGGGGTTTATTGCAACGTGTCCCCACCTTCTCTGGCTGGGCCATACAAGCCAGCTCTGTACTAAGTCCAGAACTAATAAAACGTGGTTTTCTTTCTTTGACAAACCTTCTAGAAAAGCAAGTGGCAGTGTTTAATGCAAACAAAGCACTGGGGCAAAGTGTGGGATTGTTTGATTTTTTACCTAGGCAGGCAAGAAAATTTGAGTATAATCAGTAAAAGCACCTCTGCTTCATTGTACCTGGGCCAGTTGCTTGTGTCTTGCCTGAGACAAAGCATGTTTCCTGAAGCTAGGCCGAGCTGCAGCTCGATTCCTAGCTCATCTTCTAAGGGTCTTCCTTGATCAAAGTCTTGCCAGCTGCAGCAGATACTCAACACCAGTGTGATCTCTGGCCCCAGTAGCCTTTTCTGAGCTGAGAATTTCAAGCCCTCATGGCAGTGTTGAACCCTATAGTGAGAGATGGGTGTTAACTGTGTGGTGGTACCTGTAAGCTGGCTGTAAAGTCTTTAATGTTTTACTAAGCACCAGTTGTTTTCAAAGCCAGTCAAACTCATCTGGACCCCCATGACCTTGTGTACAGTTTTAGATTTCATGTGTTTTCATGTGCTTGCAGCCATGCAACTGTAACAATACAGGTTTCTCAGCCAGCTGCGGGTGTGAAAGCTTCAACACAAACTCCTTCGGTTGACCCATAGGTAAGCCCTGTAGGTAAGAAGTAGATTTCAGCAAGGTCAAGTGAGACTTGCCACGAGAGGGAGACAGCATGCACAGAGCCCATGTGTTCCCTGAACACATCCACCTGGATGAGACAGCCTAGCCTGGTATTTTGTAATGTGTCTGGACACGTGCAGCTGTTAGTGAAGCAGTGAGAACACAAACTTCGGACCTCAGTTGTGTGGTAGGTGCCTGCAATAGAAAACAGGGACTTATCTTTTGGCTAGTCGTCGTCTTCTGAGCATGTGTCATGACTAAGTGCCACGCAACACACAGCAAATGGAATCTGGATCTGCTAGCTATGGGATAGTGTGTGTCCAGGCCTCTCTAGGTCAGGTCAGGGAGATCCTGGTGTGAGCAGGACTGTGCAGCACCCAAGGAGATGTTTCAGATACTTGCTGGCTGGTGAGGCTGTTCACTGTTCATACTGCAAACAGCTACTGCTAAGGCTGAGCTGCACCCTGTAACCAGCTCTGGCAGGCTGGGCCAGCGGAGTGTTTGCACAGGGCTGTGAAAACACAGCACTGCAAGCACCGGGCCGCTGCGGCACCCAGGACACCCGCCACCACCCCTTGGGACTGCTCCTTTGCTTCCTCAGCACCAGCCGAGAGATTTCATGGGAGAAAAGGCTTGTTCAGTGCGCATGGGATGGCTTCATTTGCCCTCCAGATTGCGTCTGCTTTTCCCATGGCTGCAGCACAACAGCAGAGCTCTGTTTTCCTTTGGGAAGGGAATAAGCTGCTTCATCATTGTGATCTCTGGGCAGTGTCCTGTTGATAAGATCAGTTAACAGCATCAGAGGAAAGCTGTAGATTCAGGTCTGAAGTATAGAGTGAACAGGCCCTATTTGTTTAATTTGAGCTTCTAAGGTTTAAATCCCAGAGGAAATTAAATTAGGTGCCTAGAGCAATGGCAGTCTGTCATGTTTATTTGCTGGAATGTCACCTTTAATATCATGCACATATAACGTGTGTGTGCGTGCTAATGTAATGGGGTATCATACTGTGCAGAAGCAGGCATGCTACAAGAACTGGAAACGTGAAATACCGTGAGTGAGGGACACTGAGATGGGATTGGAGTTATTCTCATCCTTCTCTGTAGGAGCAAAGACTCACTCACCAGCATGACGGTGGTTTGCTGATTGCAGATGGGGATGGCAGCCTGATCTATGAGCACAGGCCTTAGTGCTCTTGTGCTGTTTTGATTGGGCTACTTCTGACAGGAGAAATCTTGTCTAGACGCGAATGCAGGATGACAATACTTCTTGCTTCCAAGCCCTCTTCAGCAGTTGGTGTGCTGCCGGCACATGCCTTCCCCCTGCACCCTCAGGAGAGCTCAAGAGTGCCAGTTTCCTGTGCTGAGGGATGTGTCTGCTTCTATGTTTGGTTACACCTGCGCTTCAGAGTCTTCATTCTTCTCCAGGAAGGAAGGCAGGTCTCCTCAGAAGCATGGGGTGGTAGGGTTTGGTGTGGGTTTTTCCTGACCTAGACGGTTAAGGACAGGCTCTGAGAGACACACTGTGTGAATGTCACTGCAGCAGTTTGTCATTACAGCCTGTGATGCCTGCCCTCCACCAAAATTAACTGTCCATGCAGGGCTTGCGGAACAGCACTATGAGCTGTTCTCAGCCTGCTGCATAGGGCAGGCTGCCATTGCTTTGAGCCCCCACACAGTCCACCGGACAGCTGAGCTGTGGACTGTCCCACTCCACTCATTAGGGATCCCCTTCAGGGATCCATTTCAGCTCGCTACATCAGTGGTATTTGTGGAATTTTTTTCAGATGGATTATCAAAATTCACAAAGAGGGGGCAGATGGGCTCAGCCATCTGAAGGCATTGCACCCCAGTGTCAGTGCTAGCCACATAGGTTTGTCCCTACTCCTATATTTTGTGGCTTAGCTGGAACCTGACCCCCCTTCGCTCTCTCCACCCTTTGCTGTTTACCCCTGCATACCCTGTCTTGTTTTCCTTCAGCCTGAGAGCAGCTGGCTGCCTCGCACACGTGGTTCCTATTTCTCTCCTGCCTCTGGCACCTTGGGAGCGCCCAGGGGTCTTCCTGCTGTGCTTGTCTTCTAGTCTCCCT